ATGAACCCATGCTGGCTGGGCCTGATCCCGTTTTAGAGCATAAAGTATCTGCGTGAAAATCCCTGAAGGGACGAGTTTGTCTTTATCAGGTCTTCTCCTTAAGCCACATAGGGTTTGTTATGTGTGCTGTCTGTTAATATAACTCCTGCGTGACTGGCCTTGGGTGGGTCCATTGTGTGGCGGCTGCTGGCATGGAGTATACTGGCTGGGTATTTCATCCAGGAGTGTTTTTGTTTTTAATGTGTGTGCTTTCAGGGTGTGTGCATGAGATTTTTGGGCACACAGGTGCTTATTTGAGCTTTGTACAGAAGGAGTTATTTTAGTTGGTAACAGACTGATGACTGAACTTACTAAAAGAAGAATATTAGATATGTTTTATTATGAGTATTCCACTGTTTCTACAGTGTGCGAAGTTCTGTTAAGGAACTCTTTAATGCCAGGTTGTGGCCAGGAGCTACTCCGTGCAGTATTATCATAGGCCACTGGTTTTGTCTCCCTGTATCTTCCCTTGACTAAAAGACTTCTATTTTGCAGCTGTTTCCCTCTTTTTGCTAGCCTTTCAGTGCAGCTTCTTCAGTCAACCAGATGACAGTCAGTGGAGATCACTGTGAGGTCTTGCAGTCCTCACTGATATTTTAGTAGTGCTTTTGTGTTTGGTGGAAATATTGGCATGCAAGGACTTGTCTTGCTGCCTCTGTGGTTGTGGGTTATTGTCAGCAAGATGTAAGGACAGATGTTTGTCTCTTTCTTCATCATATGTAAGAGGTATTTATCCTAGGTACTGATGTCAGGACTGATGTCACGTATTGCTTACCAAAATTAGACATGAACCTTGAATCTTCCTCATTCTAGAAACTTACTTCAGATGTGCTTTACTCTTTTTTCAAGTTCAACTGTACGTCTTCTGTTTCCTGAGACATTTTATTTTCTATGTTACACACTTGGTAGATCAAAAGCGTTGGCACTTCCTGGATGTAGGCTGCTTGCTGGTTATCAATTTTAACCTATTTACAAAATTTATTTGTATTATGTCTCTTTTCTGTGTGACAGGGTGCCAAAGCATGTTTCCTCAGAGACATTCCCTTTTCTGCAATCTACTTTCCTGTTTATGCTCATAGTAAACTGATGCTTGCTGATGAAAATGGCCACGTGGGAGGGCTTAATCTCCTTACAGCTGGAGCCATTGCAGGTAATTTTGCAGAAGGTTTTCTGCAAGTAATTTTTTTTCTTTTAGTAAGTAATATTTAATATTCATTCAGTAGCCCCATATAAAGGAAGGTTACTGTACCATTGTATCTGATTTAATCTAAATTTGATCACTGTTATCCTTAGTGGGAGGCGATGTAATTTTGATGAGAGCTAATTACATTTGCATAATGTGGATAAACAGCGTAATGCAGCTCAGCAACTTGTAGTCAAATTTGATCTGTCTGTCTCAATGGGGTTTTACTTGTTACTGTGCTCTCAGAGTTGAAGGCTAATTTGAATCTTTGATGAACATAAAATGAGATATCATAAGAGCTAAGAAGAAAATGACCTATCTAGTTTTGGATTCCTGAATAACTGAGAGGAAACTTTGTTCAAATGTAATTGCTAAAAACAGGACGCATGTTTGTAAAGTAACTGAAGTTAAAGTGACATACTTTGAAATTTAAAATATTTTAAGGCTTCTCAAAAATATTTAGTATAAAGAGAATAGGCAGCTGTGATAAAAAGTTGTTTTTACGAAGCGGCAAGTGGTGTAAAAATACTAGCTATAGGAACTGTAGTGGTGGATATTTAAAAATGCGGATACAGATTCTGCACTGCCGAGGATTAGCTCACCAGGATGAAAACCAGGCATCTGCAGCCTCTCCGTCATGAACAATTCGGTGTTGCAGTCAGTGCAGCTTAGAAACATCATTGGGCTGAACAGACCTTTCATTACTTGTTACAGTCTTAAGGAAGCACTATCTATACATCAGCCATGAGCCATCCGGGTGTAAAGAGAGGTTCCCACACTGCACGTGATACAGAGCTCGGCCGCACCTGCTCTTTGCCAGTTGGTGCGTTCCCCGTGCCAGAGGGAAGGGAGAGGCCAGCTAGGAAACCAGTAACAGATTTGTAGCCCTGTTTATTCTCAAGTAATGCAGAGCTGCCAGAAATGGAGAACTATTTAGGTCACTGTACTTATAGAAGCACATATAAATACGAGATACAAGTTTAAATAATGAAGACTTGCTGTTTTTATTTTTAGATTGCAAACTTCACAACTTCTCTTCATTTGTTTGGTTAGTGTTTCTGGGTCACTTGTGCCAAGTAATGAAATCTATTAAAAATGTGTGTAAATCTTGTAGGCCTAGTTTTATAGACTTTACAGGAACCTGCCTTTCTGAATTGCAAATTTCAAATTCCCAATTGCTCGATCTATCCCCGTTACACGTGCGCAGTAGGGAAGAATACAGACAGAACATATCTGCCCGTAAAGCAAAATCTGCGTACGGTTGCTATTGGTGTATGCTTGTAGGCTTAACTGCATTGCTTCTGTTTTCCTTTAAAACCTCCGAACTGATCAGTGACACTTTAGAGTTTATGATCACCTACGCAAATCAGTGACTTCTTGAACTTTGAATTCAGTATTAACCAATTTTAAAACTTTAACAGAAGTCAAAATCAATTTCAAAATTCTAAGTCAGAAGATGGTTCCTCTTTTTAAGAGGTTGACTTTTACGGTATTCAGAAGTATTCAGAAATATCTCAGATAACACAGTTATATACTGTGGAGTACACTTCTGAAAACTTTCTCCTTTCCTTTGACTAGAAAGCTGAGAGTGGTGCCTTGGAAGTGGAGATATGTTCTGCCATCACTGTTGGCTGGTATCACGCTGTTGGTACTAAGCAGACTTGTAAAACACCTTCATTGTCCTCAGTCTTTTTATGGCTTGCCTATTGAAGTAAGCAGCATCTATTCTTCTACAGAACAGTCCAAACAGCAATACAGGCATACTTCTGTAGAACAGGTGTTTTAAGTAGTGGTTTTCTTGTTAACACCTTTAACAAATGAATGTGTATGATGCAAGTTCTCAAATCAATCACCTAAGTAATTTGCAAAATATGTTGTAGAGTACTGGCAAATACAGTAAGGTTGCACAACTAGTTTTTGTCATGGGTATCTCTTATTACATAGATGGCATCTGTGTGAATTTAAAAACGCCTCTTTTATCTATTTAAAACTACTGTTAGTAACAGACCACTAGAAGACATTGAGAGCAGTGCTGTTGATAGTAAAGAAAATAATAATAAACTATGTTATACCCTTTAAACGTAGAAGAAACTCAAAAGGATCATACCAAGCACAAGTTTATATTAGCATTGAGTGTAAGAACTTGCATTTTTAGTAATGTCTAATTCTTGCAAAAAATGTTAAAGTTTGCAGTTGTATTTTTCAGTTAGAAGTGTTTCATCTTTTACAAGTTTCTTTGTGCAAATTAAATGTGGTTTTCTTCTAAAAGGTGTGCCTGCTGCTTCTTTGGTAACCCCTGCTGATGTCATCAAGACAAGACTGCAAGTGGCAGCTCGCGCTGGTCAGACAACATACAGTGGAGTTATTGACTGCTTTGGAAAGATTTTAAGGGAAGAAGGCCCTTCGGCTTTTTGGAAAGGAGCTGGAGGTGAGAAAGGCACTCATGAATGTCAAGGCTGACCCTCTCTTGCTTTGTTAAGGACTTGAATTAGAGCAGCATTTACAAGGTCTGATTCTGAAAAACATAACATCTTGTTAAAAATGTTTAGCTTCTCTCCTGAGAAATTATTTTCTTCATTTGACACTATGATTTGTAATATTTAACAGCTCGTGTGTTCAGATCTTCACCCCAGTTTGGTGTTACTTTGGTCACTTACGAACTTCTGCAGAGGTGGTTTTATGTCGATTTTGGAGGCCTGTAAGTCAAATACTTGCTTTTTATCTTGCACAAAAACCTGACAAGTTAAAAAAAACCCCTTTTTTCATACATGGGACCACTTAAACTTGGTGACTTTGAGCACCTGTAAATTGCAAAAGGTCTCCCTCTCCTTATATAATTGAGACAAACTTGCATGCTACTTCCAAACAGACGAGGAGATAAAGAGCCATTTCATATTTGTTTTAATGCACTACATAAAATTTGTATTTCCATTATAGCAAGATATTTTGTCCATTTTCCCCATGTCACTGGAAGTTAAAAGAATTTATAAAGCTATCGGTAAAAGTGTATCTTCACAGTTTCGGCCTTGATTTCCCGTTAAGCAGTGGTCTGAACTCAACTTTACTTGACCATAGAAGTGAATTAATTAAGGTCAGCTTTCATAGTCTTCCATACTCGGACAAAAGCCTTAAGTATTTAGTCTAGATTTCATAAAGTTATTCAGGCTTAAGAAAACACTTTAAATAAAGGAAAGGCTTCTTTTCTTTTTCTTTCTTCAAACAGAAAACCTTCTGGATCAGAACCTACCCCAAAAACTCGAATTTCAGATCTTCCTCCTGTTAACCCTGAGCACATAGGTGGATACAGACTTGCTACAGCTACATTCGCTGGTATAGAAAATAAATTTGGTTTATATCTTCCAAAGTTTCGATCTCCTGGCATCACCTCGGCTCAACCAAAAAGTAGCAGCTAAATCCTGACAAGATGTTTCAAGCTAACAAGGTGATGCAGTGGAAAAAATTCACAAGAGTAGTACTGTATTTTTTCAAGTGAGCTGCATGTTGTTCTAGCTGAACTGAGCTTGCAATTCTAATTACTCCTTTCTAATATTAATATATACCTGCATTTATTTGTTTATTTGCACACAAGGAACTGATTGAAGCTGTGGTTCTATGCCTTGTTTTAACCAGTGGCATGAATCTGTAGCCTAGGTTTGCCTTGCACAGCTTGCATTTCATGTTACTGTACATATTGTACATCTTTGTACAGAGACATCATGGCACCTATACACATAAATTTATATAAGGGGTAGTGCAGTTCAAAAATAGTTTGAAATGTACAGAATGTTTTGAAGGCATTTTGTTAACAATCGTGACAATAAAATATTTAAAAACACTTAAGTCAATTCACTTCTTTATGTTTATAGAAAAGTTGTCCAAGGTGATTATTTTTGTTTTCCCTCCACAGATTATGGATCACAGATTAAAATGTAAAGATTAGATGCACCCATTTAATGAATGTACAGTACAGGAGATGGCCTCTGAAGGAATGCATTTCACTGCTAGTTACAGCAAAGATATTAAAATGCAATGTGCTGGCTTGTAAGTGTACAAGAACACAGTAATTAGATGAGCACATGCAATATTTTATTTTGCAGCACTATTTTGTAACAAGAATTCCCTTGAGATACACAGTAATACTAAATGTGTAATAGATCTTACCTCTATGGTAGCATGTTTAAAATACAGTGAGATATTTGCCAGTTATTAGCAGACTTAAGAATTTTTTTACAGGATTTATTACTCAGAGTGCTTTTTCTCAGAATGGAAAACTTTTTATAAAAAAAATTGAAGATGTTCTCTTTATCTCTAGATTGTTTTACTATTGAAAGGTAGGTTGTTCTGGAAAAAACACCACCACTTACTTTTATATCCTTTTTATACACATAACTGATTGTTTAGACTACCAGTTCAGTTAAATACGAAGTAAAAGGAGAAAAGAAAGGAGAAGCTTGAATTACTTTTGGCTTAATATCTGCAAAAGTTTAATTTTTAAATGCAAAAATGTCAGAGGAGATAGAGGAGTCTAGATTTCTACAGTCCTAGAGGAAGAGTAGTTACACTACCCATACAGCCAGAGAAGAGATGGGTGGGTTTCCAGCCTTGCTTACGGAAGTGTGAAAATAAAATGTTTCTTTCACAGTTAAACAGCCTGGAGTAGAGCATATCCCAAGCAGTACAAACTGATGGGAGGCTCTCATTTTCTTGCTCAGGTTCAGCAAGGCCACTACGAAGAGTTTTAGTTAGCTTACAAAGAAGTGGCTTCTTAAAAACGGAACACTACAAACACAGGCAAGCCCTCCTTCACCTCTAGCCTCTAAGCAAGATACAAAATCTTCTGGTGCTGAATAATATTTAGCAAGCTAGAGGTTACAATACATTGAACTTGGGAACTTGATCACTGTTCTGCAACATGCATATACAGACAGGCTTCCTCTCTTTACTAGTTTTTTTTCTGTTTAAAGCATTACGTGTTCTGTGCAGTTTTACAGAGACAGGCTTCCCAGGAACTCTAACCCACATCTATGTATCTTGTTCTGTGCTTTTTGAAATAGATACAAAAATGTCAGGTACCCACTGGCATTTAATCTTAGTCACAGCTTGTTGACTGACTCAATCAAGGCCTTAGGAGACTTCACAATGCAAGACAGCAGTTGTATTTCTTACAGCTCCAAAACTGGACAGTGTGGCTCCCAGGATGATCATTTACAGTATCTAGCATCACTGTTGGTCTCTTAATGTTGCAGGTATGGGTTTTACAACATTTTTAACCTGTACTCAAGTATTTTGTGAGGGAGGAACACAAGCAGGAA